GCGGCCCGCCGGGGGGGGGGTCAGGTTGGGCTGCCTGCCAGCACTGGGCCCCACCCATCTGAGCACAAGGGTACATTCACCGGCCAAAGGTATCAAGTTCAAGTGCCATCATGGATGAGGAGTCCAGCTATTGGCTCTCCAGACTCCAAGAGAGTGATAAATGCATTTATTCACCATGCATAATCCTGCGGATTTAAGGGCCTTACTCATTACACAGTGGACAATTTATATACAGAAGATAAGCAGCACACTATAGACAGCCTTCTCCCCAGCAGGCCAGAAGAAACCAGGCTTGGAACACATTCACTGGGCACCCACTTTAAACACTGGCTGACATGCATTCATGCCCAATGGCCAAAAAGTCAATTTCTGAAACCTCCTGAATTGCAATCACCAACTCGCACTGTGGCTGTGCTGTTGTGGCCCCTCCTTATGGCTGGATACTCACAGCCTCGTTTAATTACACTTTAGCCGCTCCTTTACATCCTACTAAACTCTGCTTGTCTTCTCAAGCTTCCCCCACCTCCGGTGCATGCAGAATGGGGAATCTGACTGACGGGTCTGACACACTGTTAGCCTGACGAGACCTCACACTGACACGGCCTCCAACGCAACGCAAGCTGACAGGGGTTAGCTGGCACCTTCTTCCCTGCCCCGGTCACTGTTCATAACAGCAAACTGCACTTCAGTTGCTCGCATTAATCAAATCTCTCTTTGATGCACACCAGATAGAAGCGTAAGAGACGTACAAACTAAGACCAGGGAAGACTTCAAGTCTAATCTGATCACTACAAGCAGGAAAGAAGCCACCAACTGTTAAAATGAAATAGCTCTAATAAGAAGAGATCTGGACTGGCAAGAAAAGGTGAACTGCTGTGAACACACTTTTTATATCGGAAGGTCTGTGCTTTCGCAATAAACTAATTGGATCAAGTCAGTGGATGTGCTCCTATGCTTCAGACTGTGGCGCACAGCAGAGAAAGCTGATCACCCTGTCTTTAAATTAACATATTATAAAGGGAGAGGTCACAGTAAGTTAATGACAGGTTAGAATAAAAAAATTACAACATCAGACTACTGTCAGCCTGTGGCATCCTTCACAGAAGGTACTGGCGAGCACTTAGTTTAAAGGTATCAGACTTCTGTTATCATGCCAGATTGTGAGAGGTAATCAGTACTTGCGAGCCAGGTCGCCCCTGGCTCCCTGGGTTGTCAGCAAGGGACTCCAGGGATGTGCTGTGGTACAGACTGCTGAGGGGCTGTGTGGCAGGGGCAAGATTCAACCACACAGGAAGAGTGAAACACCAGTATAGAACAGAATTTTATTCCTTGAGTCATCAAAACACAGCTTGCTGCTGTATTTTAATATGGGACAACAAAACAGAAAATATAAAACCAGACGCTGCAGCTAAACTATCCTGGAGTGTAAAGGTTTCCATGAGAGAGAGACTCTGTAATTTCAAGATGTAAATACGATAATAAAAATCATGCCTGCAGTGACACAAGGACATGACTGATAGAGAAACTAGCTCACATGAGGAGAGGGGATTAAAAGGGATTGAGAACACATCTATTAAAAAGGCAAAGTACCTTCTTCCTGAAGAGTTTCTCTTCTTTTCCAAGTTTTAGCTGTTGGAAGAAAGAAAAGTAAAAACCCCAAAAACATGACATTTGTTGTGCTGTCTGATGAAGGTTTGGTGATCCACAGTGCCTTCCTCACGCACCGGGGGGGGGCTTTCATGGAGCAATTCAAGCCATCCATAAACACTGCAGTGAGTCCATAGGGATGGGAAAAGGAAAGCATGGCCAGAAAGCAGAAACTGGTATCGTGAATTTTGCGCTCTCATTCCACCAAAGCAACCCCAATCCCTACATTTAACTGTATTGTAGCGTTCCCGCTGTCAAGCCTCGCATGGCAGACTGACAGCCACTCCTCGTGAACTACACATGCAATACAAAACCAGCCACGGATTGATTTTAAAGCCATCAGCCATTTAGTCGTGAGACACATTAAATCTAGGTCCTCATTTCTACCTCTACAAACCAGCATTTCTGTATATCCCAAGTATCATATTTCACAATCCACAAGACAATTCAGAATGTCCCTGCCTGGCCCAAGAGCTCTGACTGTTAAATTCTGGGAAAAGCTGTCTACATCGCTGTTGTGAGCAGCTCCTCCTCTCTGCAGGCTACAGAAGGTGTCATTTCTAAAGGTCCTCTGATGGGTTATGAGTATTGTACACCCCTGAATCAGCCACGAAACAAGCTGCCATGCGCCACCAAGTGGATAAAGATTAAAAAGTTTCCATTAAAAATTGATTTTCACCTTGTTCCTACTCCAAGCATCTTGTAAAGGCTTTTCAGTTAAAGTGGGTTTTCTAGTATTCTGAATAAAACAACAGCCATAGCCCAGTGTTTTCGGCCTCTGAACGTCAACCCGAGTGTCGCTGTTCAAACTACTGTCCTGTTAGACTAGCAGTTTTCAGAAAGGAAGGTAAAACATCGCAGTTTCTTTTGTAACAATCTGGGATTTTAAGATGAGCTATAAGCCAGAAGGCAAGAGACATCAGCCCCAACCAGCCCACGCGCATCTGTGTAAGTACATGAAGAGAGTGTTTTGTCATACCCGCTTTCTCATAGTGGGTTCCTGGGGTTTCTCAAATTTCCTTTTCCTCCACAGATGCACTTCATCCGACTTTCTCCTCAGTATTGAGTCAACTTGAGTCTTTTTGGAATGTTCCTCTGATTTCCGCCTGGGAGTTTCTTCACAATCCCCTTTCCGTTTTGCAGCATCTATTACTTCCTTATTGTCTCTGTTCATTTTCTGTTCCTTCAGCAATGAGCCTGGGAGATTTGATGCGTATTTGAATCCTGGTCCGCGCTTTTGCTTGTACGCCAAAGAGACACAAAACACAAACAAACTTTATATCTTATGCCTTTCTCAGCTCTTTATCTAAGTTGCCTCCAACACTGGTGGGTTGATCACTTTGTAACAGACTAAATGATTAGCAAGAAGTTAGAGTAAAGTAGTTTCAACCTTTATAAAGTTATTTTTGTAACTACACACTTGCAGTGTCTGTCTCAGTTTGAAAAGAAATAATGTTTCACTAATTCCAACAGACACTTCAGGTTTTGCAGAATTGCTTCTGGATTTTGGTTTTTTTTTAAAAGTATTTTCATCTAAGAAATTAACATGCAGCAGTGCACAGAACTAACCTAAATATTCCTCAGGTTTTGGGTGAAGTGTTGGTACACGGAACAAGAATACAAAAATTATTAAAGAATAGAAAGCCACCAGCTTATTTCCTTCAACTCAACTGAATTAAGCACAAAATCAAAAGCTGGTATTGGACAAAATTGTATCTACAAGCCAGAGGGAATGCTTGAGATTTTGTATCTCATTCCAGCACCACTTATTCCCATTAAACTCACTTTTCCAGTTTTCCCTGCGTGGTTGCACTTTGGACACTCCCAGCAGTTCGGCAACTCATCGTTAACCACACCATCCGATTCCTTCACCTGGTGAAAGAAAGGCACAACTCAATTCACAGTCATACTGTAAAAAGCTGCAAAAGGTAGATCATTTAGAGGCATTCTGTACAGCTCAATTTTCTCTGATCGACTGCTGCCCTCCCAATGGCTGCAGAAAAGAAACCTAGATCACCGCAGGTGCTGCACCATCCTGCTGGTGCTGAGCAAGCCCTCGGTCCTGCACAATTACCCTTCTGATGATGTCAACAGGGGAGGAAAGCATGCTGCCCAAATTGGTATTTGACAAAGGGTTCAGGTCTGGGCTTTTTATGAAAGTCAGTGACAATCCCAATTAACACAGGGCACATTCTGCTCTTGTAAAAAACCAAAACAACAAAAACCACCCCAACAACCCAAACCAAAACCCCCAAAACCCAGGACTGTAATCACACCATCTCTGAATGTCCTCCCACACCACTTGAAAAAGCTCAGTCCCGTCCCATCCGTGTGTGTACCCGCCCCCCCCCAGAGTGAGGCACAGTCTGATCTTTTAGTAGGGAGGGATTTTTTCCCATACACACATTCTCACATACATTAATACCGTTCGGCATTTTTAGAAGCAAATTACCCTGCACTGTAATCAAGTGTTCCTTAAAATATTTTTCTTTATGGATCAGAACTAGCAGTCCCATGCGTCCAGCCCTCAAACCCATGTGCCAATAAAAATGATGGTTGCCAAGTCAGCTAGAGAACAGGCACTTTTATTCAGAAGACTGGACACATGAAGGCATTTTTAAGGTTTCTCACACCCACAGTTACCCAGCTAGTGTAAGGAAGAGAAATGCTTACTACTTCACTACCTCTGAGAGACTGTGACATTTTGCTTTTTGAAAGAGAAGACGCACACTCAGTGTACAATAAAAGCACAGTCCTGCCCTACGCAGTTGAAAAGCTGCTGGTTTCTGAATTTCCATACAGGAGCCCGCGTTACTTTCCAAACAGGAGATAAGTGCTTCTGAAAAGGCATTTCTGTGAATGAAACTGAGGATGAAAAGTAGAGCTAAGGTAAAAACACCCTCCACACAAACACATACGCTCACTGATGGCACATTCACATTTAAGGGTTTAGTTATATATTCAGAAATAAGCCTTGGGCTAAAAAAAGAAGATTAATTTATTACTATTATAAACAACAAAAACACGCTACTGTCAAGACAAATAGCTAGGCATTGGCATTAGCAGCACAGTAGCAGGAGACTGCTGCTGAAACAGGCAGGGGCAAAGATCTGCAGATTTTTCACGTTTCTGAAACGTTTCCTCCTCTCCTCCCAGCTCAGCAAAAACGCACTAGCTATGCAGGATCAAGCCCTGGTTTTAGGGGAACTGCTTCCTCAAGTCCCCAAGCCAGACAGCAGCCATTCTAGTTTCACCATCTAGTGAGAGTGACGACACGTCAGTCTCTCTCAGCAAGGCTTCTGGAGTTAATAAATGAGTAAATGAAGTGGGCAGAATTTAAATACTGGTTTTATCACAACTGTACGCCTTTGAACCTTCTTTCCCATGGTAGGTGTAAGGTACTCCAGGAGTTATTGTATACATCTCTGCCTCAGGGGAACAATTCCTGGCCCAAGCCCAAGTTGGGAACAAGTTATTTCCCGCACTGAATATAGAACAAATGCTACTGAAGGGAAAGCATTACAGCTCTGTCCCTTCTGTGAAGTTTAAGGAACTGAACAGATGTGAGGAACTGTAAGCAAACTAATTAGACACACACAAACCTGCCACTGAATCTGTCCCAAGCCTTTCAGACTGGGTGGGAGCCAGTTCCAAGTGTTTGCTACAAACAGCAGGTGGGTGTCTGAGCCACAGCATGAGGCATCTTCAGAAACGTACCTGCAGCACAAGGTCAGCAATTCAGAAAGTCTAAACGTGAGACTACGCTACTGTGAAGTCTTCTTGTTAGGGAATATGGAGACCCCAGGATGCTGATCTGACATGGCTGAGTGAGAGCCATGAATTCTGGCAGTGCCAAGACTGAAACAGCATAGGCAGCGAGACACATCTGGGCTGAACACGTGGGCAGCAGTGCAGCTGCGCTGGAAGATGTCTTTGTACTTCTGCTATTCTGACAAGGCACCTAAATATTCACCTTTTCTATCATTATCACTGTATCCATCTAAGATGAAAAAGAACAGGCTCCTACTGGGGAAAATGAACACCTTCTCCTTAAGGAAACAGTATCAGACACTGCACTCACTCACACATGCTAACCAGCATTACTAGCAGTTTGACATGTAGCAAGAAAAAATCATCAGTATCCATTCAACTCAAATGCTCTGTAACAACGAAAGGCAATATTCCCCAAAAATCTCACTAGCTCCCTCTGGAAACAACGCTGTGCTTGCAAAATGCTCGCCAAGATTGTTTTCATAAGAAACTCTTCAGCAAAACGAGCATTTGTATTGGTATTGTATTTTCAAGGAAAGAAGCATGGCAGAAACCTCCCATGAGACTTCTCAGTATGTGGAACATCCTGGCTGTCCTTAGTGCAGTTCCAACACAAGCACCCAATGTACTCTGGTACCCAGGGCTCCCCCAGCTAGAGGCACCCACAGAAGCTCCTCAAGGCTGCAAGTGTGTCAGAACACAGATGCACCTGAGCTACCCTTAATCTCCTCAAAGAGGTCATCCTCTGACACTGGTTTTTTATGGAGAAAACGCACCACAAACATGTACAGCCAAATCAGGAAGCTGGAAGAGGATGGACTTCAAACCAGGAACAATCTGCCCTGGAGTACAAATTAGCCAGTGCATGTGCCAAACTACTCCACAAGCTTTGGAGATGCATCTTGGAGGGAATTCACTCCGCATGGGAATAAGCCAGGAAAGGACACTCTTCCCTTCACTGATCCAGTTTATTCCAGTCTCCCCCAAAAGTACACTTGCCAGACATTTAATTGGAAATGACTGACAGTTCACGTGTACTACTGCCTATTTACCGAGTAGGACAGGAAGGGACTTTCTCTTGGTGGACAGCCGAAGCAGCTGCCCTGGGGCTGCATCTGCATTCAAAGGCAACTCCCACAAGGACTATTTATGGGCTCCATCCTCTGGGCTTAAGCCCACGTCAAGGGCTCGAGCAACATGTAAACATAGCAACAGATTTTTGTCTCGCAGAAAATCATGGAACCCAGGAATAAAGAGCAAGGAGGGAACCAAGGAAGAGGCTCCATTTTCCTTTTGCTGTTCTCCGGTGCATGGTCTCATCTCACCTTCCAAGATGAATCTGAAATCCTACTGGTGCCCTTTTGTCTCAGTAAATAAACAGTACCAGTTACCCCACCATTCCAGCTCAACAGAAGCACTGAGAAATCAAAATACAAGACACACAAGGCACACTGTAAATCTCCCACTGCTTAATTTTCAGAAACACCCAAAGCAACATTGTTCCTAGTTACCAAAACAGCATTCAGAACACCACACATGCATAAAAGAACAAACAGCACTTGCTTGATTTCACAGATCTGGCCCACATCCTGTGCAACTAGTCCCAAATGTGGTATGGAGAGAGGAAACCATGCTTGAACTGCCACTAGACAACAACCATGTCCTCTGGACTCAGCCATGAAGTGTCACTGACACTGCAAAGCAAGAGATGAGGGAGTCCTGGGCACTTTCAGGAAGGACTGGAATAGCAAAGCAGTAGCTACAAGTCAAAATCAAGGTACCTCTGAAAACGAGCAGCTCCTTCTCTTGCTTCATCAGGCCCCGAAGCCTTGTTTTAAACAGAGCCAAGCAAGCAAAGCTCCCTTTCAGAGCCCATCTGTGGCAGGAGCTGTGAGTACCAATTTCATGAATCAGGGAGACAGCCACAGTTCTGGTTTGCCAGCTACCTACTTTCTGCTCTAATAAATGACACGCACATAGCTTGGTGCAATACTATGTACAGCGCAAGAAAAATAAAAGACCAGGAGAGCATCACCCCGGGCTTGCATAAGGAACATACCCCTCCTCCCAGAGATCCCAGAAGGGCCAAAAGCTGCTTTCTGGGGCATGGTGTGTCAGAATACATTTGCTTTGGCAAATCACTTTAACCATAAACAAATCAGCAACAGGAAATGGCTGATCAGCTGAAACAAACCAGCTCTGGAGAAAGGAGGCTTCTAAATGCTAATATACAATGATATGCCCCAAATGACACTTTTGTTACCAGCAAAGAATATAGCTGCTCACAGGACTCAAGTCAGCCAAGGGTAAGCACTCAGCACACCTGAAACTCGCTCAGTTTGTTCTCTAGAGTTGCAGTCTTCCTACTGCAACATTTGCTCATAACATCTTTAAAACCAGCTGCCACTGAAAGGCACATCTGTGCGTGGACAAACACGAACAGCAAACTACTCATTTGTACTTTGTGGGACACAGGAAGGAGCTACCGATATGGGGATTGTGACTAACTCATCCAAAAGTACAGGCAGATTTCTCTGTCCTCTTGAGCTTTCCATCCCACCTGAAACTACTCACTTCCTTAAACAAGAGGCAAAAAAGAAAGAATGAAAAACAAAACAAAAGCCACAAGACATTTGCATGCACACACATTTCAGAGGCTTCCAAAGCAAGAGTCTCTGCTTACAGTGGATGCTGTTACATCAAAGGATCCCCTCCTGCCAGTCAGGGCTGCGTGTGCCACAGCTGTCACCCCACTTCTCGCACCAACTCTTTGCTCACTTAAGTTTCCAAAGATGAAAATATGAAAGCTTTCCAATTTCTGTGCACTACTTTTACATTAAGGTGATAATGAATCCAGTTTTTGTTTCCAACATGTACAACATCCTTGTACTCACCTTAAGGCATCCTGGGTGTATGATTTCATTACAAATGGAGCATTCCATTAGCATGAGATTAAACTTGCTCTCCTCCTCTTCTACGGTGTCCTCTTTCCCAGCTTCTCCGCACACCAAACACACAGCAGTATGAGGCAACACCGGCTGTTTACACATATGAGAAAGTAGTCTTGATCAGGACACAGAAGACATATGGAAACAGAACTCAATGTGCATTTACAGTATCCTCATTTCAAAGAGGAGATAAATAGGGATTAATTGTGCAAACTGCTGAAGGCTCCAGCCCAGCAGAGCAACAAAGGCAAGAAAAACTGGTACAATCAGGGCTGGGTACCCAGACCAAACATCACAGGACATGTTTCATGGAATGAAAGTGCCCTCCCTGTAGCAACATAAGATTCATGGGGCATCCCAGGGATGGATGAAAATGCTTTTTTTGTGGGTCCTCTGAATCTGTGAGCTGACACAGACATTGGCACACAAGTCACTTCACTAGTGTACAATGGGAGGGAAAAGAAGCAACCTGGAACATCACTATTCACATCCATTAAGCTTCACAATCTGACTAGCAGCTTGGCAGCTCCCCTACTTTACAAGCAGGGCAGACAGATGTTATGGGACCCAACCCAGGTCTCACAGCAAGCCCACAACAGAACCGAGAACAGACCTCTTCCTGACTGACAATCTATTATCTAGTGCCCTCCTCCCAACCTGAGCATTGCAAAAAGCACTGCACAGACACTTAAAAAGAGAATTCTTCTCCTGTAAGTGCCACAAGTGAGAAGCGCACTGATTTTTTTCCCATCTTTTGCTGAGACAGAAAGGGAACTGCAGCATATGCAACTGACATATCTGTCACCCGTGTCAAAGCACTGAATACCAGTCTACTTAAAAAGCCACCTTTGTGCTAATGAAGAACAAACTTCTGGTTTGTGGCAATAAGGTATAAGCCTCATTACAAGAAAGAAAAGGAAGATCCTCATAAGAAGTTGGCTATAATGTGAAATGCAATCGATTAGGTTGCAAGTCCTTAACTATTAAGCAGCCAGAGACAGACATGTGGCTTTTCATGGCAAAGATCTCTTGTAGATGGAGTGAACAAAATCCGTAAGTGGATAATTGCACACCAAACCAAATCTATGCAGAAACAGTGCATTCTTCGGCAAGTTTCAGATAGGGGAAAACCTAGCTATAGTAAGCCATTACAGAGTACAGTGTGCTGCCCCACACACTAACATGATACATTAGCTATGGCAACACTTTCCTGCTTTCTCATGCCAGTACTTACCCACGCTCCATTTTAAAAGCATTTTGCAAATGCTATTTAATTCCCACCCTTCCTCCAAGCACAAAATAGGAATCCCCAGGATCCCATTCCACCAGCAGGTAAACCAGAGAAAAGCTAAGTTGTCCAGAGCCATAAGAGCTCCGTCCACTTGTTTTGTCCTATCTCCCACACGACAAGTATTTATATCCACACACAAGAACAAACATCCCCCGAGCAGTACAATTTTTCTTGCTGGGAGCAAGGGTGTCTAGGGAATCTCCTCTGAGCCCCAACTAGCGCTGTCCCACTGACGGGCTGGAACAGCAGCGATGCTGTCACAACACGTCCTCCCAGCACAGAGCCCCCACACTCCCTTCAGACCTATTCAATGCAGCATAAAGTATCCCAGGCACTCCTGTTTCCTTTCTTGATTGAACTAGTCATGCAGAGGAGTTTCCTGTTCTCCGAACGGCAGTACAGGCTCTCTTAAGGCTTCTGAGTTTAATGAAAGTCTGTGTCTAGTTAATATCGTCAATGTTATTAACCAGAGGAAAGCACAATCCCAGAACTGTAGGGATCATTACTTCCACAGAGCCTTGCTTTGGTGTTTTGGGGTTTTTTTTTTTGGCTGGAAGCTGTTGGATAGGTACCACAATATATTACTACTGCAATTGTTAGAGAACGTAATGAACAAGAGTAAAGACAATAGGATTGCTTATAGAAATGTAAAGCACCATTAAAAGTTACAACAGTTCAACTTGTTAATTTTCTGTGCTTTTGCTGCTCTAAGAAAGTTTGTAATACTCCCCCTGCTACTTACACCAGTGGGAACCTATGAAGGACAGAGAGGTCTTCTTCAGTGCATGCAAGGGTGGGACAAGGAATCAGAGTACCTTGGCTACCAAGTCCTGTACTCTAACCACAGATCCTGGAAATAAAACTGCAGATACGAAGAAGAAAAATACTTCATTAGAAGAAAGGGGATGAGAGGATGACTACACTCAGCCAGAAGAGAACCCAATTCATCTCCAAAAGGCTCAGCCTGTGTATCAAGAGCAAAACAGCTTAGTATGAAAGTTTCCTTCATCAGTCAGGACAAGAAAGCACACTGCAGCCCTAATTTAATCCCTCCACTAAAAAGGCAGCACGATTTCACTATTTCTTCCCCCTGGAGAATAATAAATTCTTCATCCATGCTGTTCAATTCATGCCACACTCCAGGAAATCAAGTGTTCAAAGAAAAGACACTTGAGCTGCAAAAGCACTCCGCAGAAAGGTAGATATTCTGTGTGCTTTACTGAAAGATCCAGCAGAGCTGAATCCAATCCTCTATGTCAAGAACAGTGCATGGCTCAGAACAGGACATGGAGTGAGCTACCAGGAGCAACTACTGGAAACCTTAAGTGCTTATCAGTTTTTTTTATCAGTGACAGACCAATTAATTTAATGCCTCCACTTCAGTTTCCTCATCAAAATGGGGGGGTGGGGGGGGTGAAATTGGGGGGGGGGGGGAGAAGTGAAAGGAACTGTAACAAGAGTTAGAGAGAAATCAGTATAGATGGGGTGATATTTCACTTATGAATAAACAACATTCCTTTCCTTAAAAAAACCCCACAAAACAACAGAAAACCAAACCCTTAAGAGCATAATCAAGACCTTCCAAAGAATTAAGAGAAAAGCTAAAGCTAATTTTTACCCTTAAATGGGGACACTGTGGACATGAGACCTGAGGAGAAGCTCCAAGATAGTCAATATGAAAGCAACAGATTCAAAAGGTGCTTGGACAACTTAGTGGAAGATTAATCTGTCAATATTTGTTAAAAACAAAGTTATCACTTATGACTCAAGAAGCTTCTAAGCAACGTATCACAGGAGCCCAGGAAACGGTCTGACTGCCTGCTTGCCCTGTTCTGATGCTCATCCCCTGACAGCTATTTCCAGTCCCTGAGGAAGACAAGACCTTGGCTTGATGGCTCTTTGGCTCATCTGGATCAGATCCCTCCTATATGCCTAGGTAATAGCAAACAAATTGAAATTAAGGTCTCAAGTAGCCTGGGGCTGGGGTCACCAATGCCAAAATCTTGGAGGATGCCAGTCAAAGATTTCTCCATATCTTAAGTTGGTTAAGTAGTTAAGATGGTAAAGACAGTTGCAAGGCAGCTTTTCTCAGGAAATTCAGAGATCCAAACCAAACAGGCCTCTTTTCCCTTTGAATCAGAACTTCCCACTTTTCCCCTTCTCCCCCAAATTCCAGAATTTCAGTGAGATTTGAGTGCCAATTTCTGGTGTACTGATAATCTCCACATCCACCTTCTATATTACTGAGAATGAAAGCCATGCTACTAAGTTTTAGGAACATTCTGGTTTAAGATTGGGGCGGGCAGGGGATGAAAATTGATGGGAAGAAGAGATCTGAACTGAGAGGGCAGGGATTACACTGTTTTGCCTGATGCACTTTAGAGACAAGAGTTCTCAGTTCCACACCTCGTCACCAGGAGACAGATATAGGAAAGAAATCTCCAAACAAGCTGTAGCAACAGGTACACTTACTGCGATACACTGCCTCATAATGCAGGACTGTTTCATCCTGCCAGGTCCCCCAAATTTCTTCATATCTTTGCAGAAGTGACACTCGCCGCACTCTGTCCGCAGACACGCCTCGCACTTGCGGCATCGCGTCCTCCTCCGACGTGCTCCAGCAGTTGTCCGATTAGCTGCAAGCTTTACTGCAGAAGCAGTGCCCAGTTTCCCTTTGGGCCGTCCAACTGCCCTGTTCTGAAAAAGCCAGACACACAAGGTTAATCGCACATCCCACTTACCACCTACACTACAGAACTTCCTTGGACAGGAGTTGTATACATCTTAGATGTAAAACTGACAGATGTATCAGAATTATACACAGATGGGTAATACTGAGCAAATGCATACGATCACTCTTGTAGCTAAAGGAGTTCCATTACCTTTTCAAGAAAAGATGCATTGTAAAAAGACAAAGAAACCAAGGCATTAATGAGAGATCCCAAACCTATAGCAAACTCACTTCAACGGGAGGGCAGGGAGAATCAATTTACGCACAGCTCAACGCAGGACCAAGTCCCAAGTGACTTGCTTGGCTTAGGTCAAGAGATGATCTGTGCCATTGCTGAGGTCTGGGCTAGGGAGCTCTTAGGATTGTGCTCAGGTGAAGCCAGAAGGTCTACTTTGCTCTGCTGGAAGTGGAAGAATCCAAGCAGGCAGCGAAAGTAATTTTGAGGTTAGGTACAGCAGAGAAACACTCAGCAGCAATGGCTCAAGCCACAGCAATCTCCCTAAAAGAACAGGAGAGCATGAACTACTGCCAAGTGATAAAGTAGGAAATAAAACACAAATACTACAAAACCCTTCCAAAGTAACTCCCCTCATATCCAATACTAGCAAGTGCTCAAAAATAGAACACTAACTGATGCTGTGCAAAGGCTGGAAAGGGCATGTCAGGTCTAGATTTCAATGACCTTCAAGACAGAAGCTAAAGGAGCATGAAAATATTTTAAATTATTGGGTTAACCGCAACATATTCACTCTGGATATCTAAATTTCAAGTTCTCATCAGAAACTCCCTGTTATACACAAGAACTTAGAGCTCAAGCCAAACATCGCTAAATACCATGTAATTGTATGGGGCTAATTACGCAAGAATTGGCTTGGCTCATTCTTACCACTGACAGCTTTCTCCATAAAGATGATAATAATAGGACTGCAAAGCTCATCTGGTGTAGTATTTATACAATTTTTCCACTTTCTGCACATCTCAGCATATGACCAACAGACCAGCCAGTTTCACTTTCTGTTCCTGCTGAATTCTGGGCAATCACCAAGGCAGGGGCAGGTTGGCTATAGAAAGCCATGCAGAATTTCCACTGCAGTTTTAAAAAGAAAAGGTATGGAAACATTCTACTTGGTACTACAAAAGCTTCCCTAAGTGTCCTACTATACAACCCTGAAGAAAAGCCACATTGCCAAGAATTTGAACTTCCTCCCAGCTGACTTAGCAAAGCTTCAGTGACTTTCTTAAGATGCAGAAGAGTGCTGATATTTTAACAGAGTCTCCATCCCAGGAACCTCAGTGCTGGGAGAGCAGAGAAGCCAGGAGCTAGACCTCTTAGTTTTCTTTCCCACAGACCTACTATTGTAACTGAGGTGGGAGAAAACATTGCTTAGTCGATGAGGTTACACAGATTTCAGCAAGTTTTTAATTATGCTCGTCCAGAACGGTTTTTGTCCTGCTTGCAGGCTGAATCGCACTGTGCTGTGTGAACACAGACAAGTGTAGCTTCCTCCCCATCGGCAATCACACCAGACGCCTGGATTTCAGATCAATTTCAGACACACTAAAGAATAAATATTTACCTTTTAGACCAACTTTTCAGCCTCTCAAGGATAAAGTCAGCTCTGCCAGGACTGGCTTAGAGGCAACCTAGATAAGAGATAATTTCCTTCCTCAGCATGAATCACTTCTCTGTTCTCTCTATTAGAATCTCCTTCCACTAGCAAGGGAAGCAAGAGACACGAACCAAAGGCTAGACATCAGTGAGAACAAGTTAAACCAAAATATGTACAACAACCTGGGCAGGTCCCCTCTGCCAACAGCACACGGAAGATTCTGCGTGAGCATCTGACTCCTTCCCACTAGGTTTGAACACGATTAAGTTTTTTTAAGAAGGCAAACACCAGTTACAACACCATCAGAATCATCTTTTTAAAATGCAATCTCTTTCAAGGAAAAATCAAACTCGGTACTTTTCCAGCTGAAAGACAACTCCTGATTCTGCCACAGTAATAGGAGCCAAGTCCTAATTCTAAGGACAGCATCTTAAGTGCCAGGACGCTGCAAAGATGCAAGCAGTAAAAAGGCATCGCTTCAACACAGAATTTGAGAATCCTAAAAAAAAAAAAAAAAAAAAAAGAAAAAAAGGCAGGAAGGTGAAGGTACAAGAACAAGTCTGAAGCCAGACCATACCACACAACTCAGATTTCCTTACAAATCCACCACACAGCAGACTGCAGAGGTGCAGACCTCTGATCTCACTGTATGTAACATTTCTTACCTACTCAGCCCTCTTCACTGCTCGTTAGGAAATTCAAGCAATTGTACTAGCTGGGTTTGTACTAATTTACCAACCAACCAATCCTCAATCCAAGCCACGTTTTCACTCCAGGATGTCGCAGCCAGCAAGGCTAGAGAGGCCTTGCAGGAATTCCCACTAGTATCTAGTTTCAAGGGGCTCCACAGCGGTCGCTTAAAAACCTCCACAGAAGAAAATCTGGCCTGTGGGTTACTATCCCAGAAAGGGGCTGGGATTCAAGGGGGTAGAAGGAGCCTCCAACATGACTTGGGGTTTATGTAGCACATGGCAGACAGCCAGATAAATTCCAGGTCAATGTTAGTGAAGAGATGCCGCAGGATTTCCAGCTCAGACTGCAGTTTTACAATGTACCAGCCCTGGTAGCAAAACTAGGTAAAGATTTCCTTCCCAGCTCCTGTTCCCATCTCTGTACTGCAATTTGCCACCCTCCTAGCACAACTCTGGGGAGCTGTCTTGCAAATAATGAGCAAGTGGCAGAGGATGGCAGGATTCCTTAACCTGGGTTTACCACAGTTTGCCAGGAGCAAACAGCAGCTCCATGTCCTCAAGCTCAGGACTGGGTGACACACTAAGTCCTAAACTAGGTTCTGGACCAATGTAGTCTCCCACCTGTGTAGCAGATCCTATCATCTCCTTTCCCAAGGAGATGAGCTGAGACCCTCAAGCACAGCCTGTGCCTGCTGACTCTGTAGTCTCCAGCAGCCACCTCTGAGAACTGTCAAGAAAAGAAAGATTATACCAAACTTGAAGAGATTTTTTTCTTAAATCTTAAAACAAAAACTAGGGCGTTGAGACAGAGCCTGCAAGTATGCGATAGTATAGTATCCCCTATGTTCTCCAGCACCTCTGCAGAAACTGTGCCCATACTTCGGCCACAGCAAGAGTCTTCAAAAGAGGGGTAGGAGGATGCTGAAGTGATGACAACCGCTCTCCCAAGCTCGTAATGAAGGCTGTGCAAGCAGCTGCTGAAACATACTAGGATTAATATACTAAATACCTACCTCTACTACACTGAAACCTAGAAAGCTAGTGGACTTGCACTGCCCTCTAAAAACAAGACACGTTAACAGGACATCCTGCTAGTTTTTTTTCCTTTTGTTTTATTTTTTGTGTCGTGTCCGTCCATCCCCCCCCCCCCCCTTACTGCTATGCAACACACAAAGGTAACCTACTCCTGCCCCCGAAGCAGACGCAGCATGGCCTCTACAGCACCTGGGTACTGGGAGTAAACTTAGGCCATCAAATGTAATACACTATGAACTACAAAGCCATTTACAAATCATGAATTTGGGATCACCCTCCCACACCCCAGTGGTTAAACACGCCCACTCCTCAGACGGGAAAGGGGACAAATTTGCAAACCGATTTTCAGAAGTGCTGAGCTCCTACAAACCTCACCAAAATCAATAGTGCTCCAGGTGGACAATTAGGGGACTGGGCGGGGTGGTCATCAGCAATTCAAGTCTCTCAACAGGACTGTGTAGATCTGGAACTAAGCTCAGGTATGACAATTCCAACTCTAAACAAACCCCTAGGAAGTGCTACCTGGAAGAGTCACTACTCAGAACATTAGTTTATCTTGGCTATGGACAAACATTTGGCTTCTGGGAAATTTTCACTGCCTGCTTCCAGGTACCTTAACACACCTTCACCGTATGTCATTTCCCTGCTCGGCAGTCACAGAAAAGCCACCCACCATCACCAGGATCAGAAGCAGCAGAGGCACTAAGGGCCTCTGCCTGGAGCACAGTTCTTACTACAACAGAAACACAACGTTGATGTTTACAGCAACAAATTTCTAACCTTCACAGTTGCAAAGAATGACTCAAAAGACCTCAGGTAAACAAAAATACCAAGAGCATCAAGCTTTGGAGACAACACTTCAAGAGCTATCAGCCGTTAAACACATCATAAAGTAGGTGCTGATGTTCCCCAACTGCTATCCCAACACCAGCCCGGCTCTGTTGGAGTCACCAGGCAACTTCACAGACTTCTCTGCTCTGGAGAGGAAGATCAGCTGACCCTGTGACCGAGTCCAGGAGGAAGGAGGTCCTGGTCCTAAAAGCAAGGCTGACAAAGCCGGCAGCCTAGAAACAAGCTCTTCTGCAAGTGGCCTTTACCTGGGCATGGGTCTTATTCCATCACTCAGCTTCAGGGACCTGCTTAAACTTCTGCCAGCAGCACCACACCATTATTTCAGACTCAGCATCTCCGAGAAAAATCCAGGGACATGCGCAGTGCCCTTCTGAAGGGCTTATCACGTGACCAGCTCAGTAAGACCCTGAAGCACTTCACTTCCTAACCAAGTACAATCTGAACAGCTTATGGATCCACTGCGTAAATCTCGCCAAGACAAGACATCTTACATGTGTAGTGTTCATTAGTTCAAGGTGCTGTGCCACATAAATATATCCCTTCCATTTGCAAGACAGGGGTGATTTCCTTCTGTAACACGCGGAGAGATTCTGATTATTCTGATTTGCTGTAGTTTGACCAAGTCCACACAACCATATCAGCACCGAAAGAAAGATGAGGACCCAGGACTTCCCGGGTGCCAGTCCTGCACTTAGACCTTTATATGGCACTGCATCCCAATACAATTGTTTTAGCAGAATTAGAATAGACAAATTTAATTACCAGTTGTTTCTTTAT